GCAGTTGAAGCCCACTAGAGCCCCAGCCTTGAGTTCCATCAATTTGTTAAGTGCCATCGAGTCAGTTCCAACCCATAGCGACCCTGTATAGGGTTTCCGAGGAGTAGCTGGTGAGCTTGAACCCCGCTGACTTTGCAGTTCAGATGGCTTTGCAGCCTGGTGCATTACCCTTACCCCACAGCACCACACCAGGACTCCTGAATTCCATCAACAGAGAGTTGTAAACACTCTTCTGTAGCCCTGAGACCTCAGTATTCTCCAGTAGTGAGGGGCGTCTCTGCTTTCCTGGGCTGAACTCTCATTTGCTGCTGCTTCGTAGTGTGTGTGGTGCCCTGCCATGAGGTGTCTTCCAGAGCGGCCGATCACAGCTCTGGGGGCTCCTGCAGCCCTCTAGCATTCTGAGATCTCAGGCCCTGCCTTGCTCATCATTCTGCAATGTGCCCTAGGTGCAGGCAGTCCTGAAGCACAAAGAAGAGGAGGATCGCCGGATGAAGCAGTTGGTCCAGACCTTACAAACCGCATTAGAGAAAGAGAAGGTGCAGGGAAACAGCCTCAAGGAACAGGTGTGTTGGCAACGTCTGCCTTGTTTGAAGTTGAAACTTAATGGGGCCGCTTTTGAATGCACTTCTTCCATCTCTGTAAAAATGGTGTGGCTTCCTCACGACACATCAGTTTCTCTGTCGCTAGAAAGATTGTTGGTGGTGTGCATGGAACCGAGATGTTGGCATTGTGGCAACAGTGAAAGGTGGTGAAGGTGCAGGCGTTCATCACCGGAGGGCTGCTCGGGAGGGCTGCACCCCTGTGTGCACTGTGAGGTCAGTGCTGCAGAGTGTTGGTGTCAGACAGCAACCAGAAAGCTGATGGGATACCCTTTACACTGGCCCTTTTCTGTGTGGACACTCTTCTTAACTGGCTCCTTCTCATGCTTCCTGTGTCAGCTGAGCTAGCAGACAAATAAATCTTCTCTCCAGATAGGCCATCTCCAAATCTGAAGTAAACCTGAACCCCCTGTGTACCCACCATCACAGTATCTTGTGTGGTGTTTCTTCAACTCTTTTGCCTTTGTTAGGATGTTAGCTTTGTGAGAGCAAGGACCTGGTCTCCTGCCGCCCCTCACAGCTCAGTGATACGTGCATTGTCAGCACACTTGTACTACGGAGTGTTTGCATGTGTGTTTGAGTGAGTGTGTGTGTTTAGAAGCGTGTATTGTTGTTGTTGTCATGTGTCATGGAGTTCATTCCGACTCATAGCGACCCTGTATAGGCTGTAAATCTTTACGGGAACAGAAAACCTCTTTCTCCCGCGGAACAGCTGGTAGTTTTGAACTGCTGACCCTGAGGGTAGCAGCCCGATTCGTAACCACTGTGCTATCAGAGCCCCAGGTATAACATAGGAAAAATATAAAAGGGTATTCACGAAATTTCTCGCTGTAGTTTCTCTGGAGAAAGGTAGGAAGAGAGACATGACTTTTCCCTTTCAACCGTATGTTTGAGTTCTTGACAGGTTTTAATTGTTTTGACACAATTTAACATTTTCAACCCAACAATAAGCTTCTTTGGTTCTTGTGACCTGGGTTTTACAACATCCTTTAAAATTTTCCCTGTGATAATACTTTTATGTTATCACATGTTAATTTTACTTACTGCATATTAATTATTGCTTTTTATTGTTATTATTTTTTGCTGACTTCCCTGTTATTATATATTGTCTTCCCCTCCAACCAAGTAAATATGTGTACTTAGTATGTGTTTGGAGTCCTGGTGTGGTGCTGTGGGTTAATGCACTGGACTGCAAAGTTGGTGTGAACCACAAGGTTGGTGGTTCAAATTCAGCAGCTGCTCCTCGGAAGTCCTACACACAGGATCGCT